GAATACTGATTTTATTTTTCTCTATATAGTGAGAAATATTCCCAGCCTCATTGGCTAAATTATCCATCATTTCTTCAATAATTTATAATGCCACATCACCATAGTTCATATACTCATATCTTTGAGTCTGTTCTGTTGTCTGTATTCATTTCCACTGACTTTCACTATTTTAATGACTGCATCTTTAAGTGTTATATATCTTGGTATCTAACAGGGACAGTCTGCTATCCATTGCCCCTGTTCTTTCCAACTATCCTTAGTTATTTGTGGATCTTTATTCTTCAAAATTAATTATTGAGTCATTTGTACAAGTGTATTAGTCAAAATTCTCCAAAGAAACAGAACAAAAGGGAGTGTGTGAGTGAGGGAGAGAGATTGAGATTTATTTTAATCTCATGTGAATTGTGAATTGGAGGCTGGCAAGTCCCAATTTGCAGCAATTTGCAGGATAGGATGACAGGCTAGAGACCCAGGGAACAGTTGATGTTGAAGCCCAAGTCCAAAGGCAGGCTGATGGTCAAATTCCTCCTTGTTCTGGGAAGGTTCTTCTTTTTTCTTTTTAGAGTCTTCAGCAGATTGGATGAGGCCCACTCATGTTTGCTTTACTCAAAATCTACTGAGTTCAGTGTTAATCTCATTAAAAAAATACTTTCATAGAAACATCTAGAGTGTTTGACCAAATATCTGGTTACTGTGGCTTACAAAGTTGACATGAAATTAACATGACAACAAGATTCCTCAAAATAGTATTTCTCTTATTTTAATTTGAATTACATTGAATTGGTATGTTAATTTTGGAAAATTAACATTATTGGAGTATTGAATTATTCTGTCCATGAATATAACATGCCTCTCCATTTATTTAAGTCTTTCCTTACATCCTTCAATAAAATTTTAAAATTTTCTGCATAAAAGTCTGCATGTATTGTTTTTGTTGATATTGTAAATGGCATTTTATATTATATTGTATTTTTGTTTATTTAATGCTAGAATAGTAGAATACTATTGATTTTTTAAGTTGACAGTGTATCAGCCATCTTTCTTAGGAGTTTTAACACTTGGCCTGTGAATTTTCTTGGAATTTTTACATATGGGATGATATCAGTAGAAATATTAGTTAGTTTACATTTTTTCCTTTAATTTTTTTTTTCTAATTTTATTTCTTTGTCTCATTGTGTTGGTCAGTACTTCCAGTATTATGCTGAAATCTTTTGTTGCTAATGGATAATTTTTTTCTTGAAAGGAATGCTTCTAATTTTTTTTTTATTGTGAATAATATTTTTTTCTAGATATCTTGGTAGGTGATCTTTATCAGTTACAAAAGCTATTTTCTACTCCTAGTTTTCTGTGAAATTCGTTTTTATCATAAAAGGCATTGAACATCATTTTTTTTTTTGCTTAATCTTTTGAGATGATAATGTGGTTTTTCTCGTTTAAACCATTAATGTACTGAAATTACAATGATGTATTTTCTGATGTTGCATAATTCTTAATTTCTTCATTCTTAATAATAAACCATAATAACCTTAACTTCTATAAAAGAGACCACTGGTGGCAATTAGATTTTTTTAAGTGATTTTTGCATTTATGATTATGAATATAATTTAGGCCAAAATTTTTTGTTTTCTTGTACTGCTTTTATCTAGTTTTGTTACCTTAAAAGCTACAGCATCATATTTTCTAAAGCAACTTGTACTAAATAGACACCGTTTTTGCTTAACATTTGAATAGGACTGACTTGTGAAACATCTAGACTTTTTGACATTTTTGGGGAAGGGGGAGTGAGGAAGGTAAAATGAGGAAGATTTTTTGATAACTCTTTCAATTTTTAAAATAGCCCTAATCTATTTAATTTCTGTATTTATTATACCAAATTTTGCAAGTTATATTTTTCCCAGAAATTTCTTTCTTATCTAGGTTTTTCGATTTATTGTTTTCATAAAATTCTTGCATGATTTTCAAAACTCTCTATTATCTCTTTAGCTATCTCCTTATTTTATTTATTTAATTTTATTTTTTAGATACAGGGTCTTGCTCTATTGCCAGGATGGAGTGGAGTGAATGATCATAGCTCACTGCGGCCTTGAACTCCTGGGCTCAGAAGATCTTCCTCCCTAAGCCTCCCAAGTACCTGGGACTACAGGCGTGCACCACCATCCTCAGCTGATTTTTAAATTTTTTGTAGAGATGGAGTCTGACTATGTTGCCCTGGCTGGTCTTGAACTTCTGGCCTCATGCAATCCTCCCACCTTGGTTTCCCAAAGTGCTGGGATACAGGTGTGAGCCACTGCACCTGGCCCTTTCTTATTTTTAATAAAGAAAATAATGTTGGCCAGGCACGGTGGCTCACGCCTGTAATCCCAGCACTTTGGGAGGCCAAGGCAGGAGGATCATGAGGTCAGAAGATTGAGACCATCCTGGCCAATATGGTGAAACCCCATCTTACTACAATACAAAAAATTAGCCAGGCATGGTGACATGCGCCTGTAGTCCCAGCTACTCAGGAGGCTGAGTCAGGGGGAGTTGCTTGAACCCGGGAGGTGGAGGCTGCAGTAAGCTGAGATTGCGCCACTGCACTCCAGCCTGGCAACAGAGTGAGACTGTCAAAAAAAAAAAAAAAAGAGAGAGAGAGAAAATAGTTTTATGTTTTCTATTCTTTTTTGTTTAGTCTTACAGAGGTTTGTTTACCTTGATAGTCTTTAAAACACAAGCAGACTTTAGGGTTGTTGATGATCTTTTGTGTTGGATCTCCATGTCACAGATTTTTTTCCTTTGGGTCCTTTGTTCCAGGAATGAGGCTGGGGCTGATAGTGGTGATGAGGAAGGAAAGGAGAGTAAGATTTGCTCTTGCTTCACCCCTCCTCCAACCCATGATTGCCTGTTATTTCCATCTGACAGCAAGTAGAATAAGGACTTGAGCAGTAAGGAGGAGGATACGCTTTGAGAGGGGTTGAATATTCCAGGGAAGAGTATAGTGTGAAAAGATGGAAAATCTCAAGACATAGCTGCAGTGCAAAGGAGAGCTATGGTCTTGGGGCAATAAATGGCAGTGGATGCATTAGGTCAGGGACTGTCTTATTTCCTCTCAAGTCACAGGCTACCAGAAAGGCAATATCTGAGGTTCTCACAAGACTAACATGTTCTAGGTTAAATAGAGAGTGGTGGTCACTAATAAATCAAAGTATTACTAATAGTAAATGATTCATTCTGTCTTGGGGCTTTCTATTAGGGCTCTTAGGGCCTGTATCTTATAAGATGCTAAGCCTAGACCAATCTGAGACATGAAAAATATGTATTTCTAATGAGTTTAAAAAAATTACTTATACTCTAATTTGTTCCCAAAATAATTTAATGTGACTGTGCTAACAATAATGGAAATGTCTTTACCCTGAAAAGCTAATTACAGTAGTTCCTCCTGTGTCTGTGCAATCATCTTGGATTGATTGTGAAATGCCAGTAGGGGTGGCATTGACAGTTATTAACTCTACCTCTTTGTAATATTTGCTGTTGTTTTGTTTTTGAGGCTGAGAAGATGGCTTAAAAGTGGTCTAGACTACTGTGTATGACTTCCAATACCAAGAGGTTGGAAGGTATTCAAGCAATTTTCAGTCCGGTTAAACTCAGAGGAATACCTTCTTGTCAGGCAGGTTTTACATTTTATCTGTCGTTAGGCCTACTCAAGACTACAAAATAAAAAGAGTAAATTTACATCAGGTAATAAGGCAAAAAGAATTTTAGTAACTTCTCACAGCATTCTCCTCTGCTTTCTTGCTCACCAGTCCGTTGGTGGGAAGAGTGTAATAGACTAGCAAGGCGCATGTGGGAACTTTTTGAGTGTTATACATTTTTTCCAAAACTTGGTCTCGATGGAGGTTCACGTGTGTATAAAATATTTATTAAGCTGTATAATAAAATTTGTGTGCTCTATGTATATTATACAACAAAAATGTGTGATTTTTCTTTTATTTCCTAAAAGGATAAATAATACTAAATACATTTTTTTTTTTACTAAGTCAGAAGAGGTTATATAAATGTGTTGTTCCTTAACAAGACTTTTAATATCATCTTGAAATTCCATTCTGTGGCTCCCATGATGAACTGAGTTCTTACTGTCTTTCATTTTGATCCTCAAAGCTGCTTTGCTTCCCAGAATGTTTTAAATTAAGTAATTGTTGTTAGTTTGCATTTTGTTGATCTTATACAAGTTAGAAATAGCTTGAGGAAGTTTAGATAAAAAGCAAACACCTATCTAAACATGAAAAGTAATCAACAATGTGCTGCATATTTAAGTATTAGGTAAATACAATTTAGAGGTTAATAAACTACCTGCTTTATCTCCTTCATATTGGTTTCGTTCTGCTTTCATTGGTTGTTTAATGAGAATAGATAACACAAAGAAAAACCTTTGTATTAAACTAACATGCTTAAATTTAGATTTGAAACATGTAAGAGCAAAAAGTGGTAGTTAATAGGAATTTATGGTAAAGCTCGTCATAATTGTGAATATTCAGTTTATTTGTATTAATGGTTTATCCAGGTTTCCTACTATGGTGGTGGTTAATTTTACCAATTTTACTATGTTTATCACAGACTCCTTGGTTATGTACAATGGACTTGGGATTTCCAGCTTTCTTTTTCTTTTTTATTTTTGAGATGGAGTCTCACTCTATTGCCCATGCTGGAGTGCAGTGGCGTGACCTCGGCTCACTGCAACCTCCGCCTCCCGGGTTCAAGTGATTCTCTAGCCTCAGCCTCCTAAGTAGCTGGGACTACAGGCACCCGCCACCATGCCTAGCTATTTTTTTTTTTTTGTATTTTTAGCAGAGACGGTGTCTCGCCATGTTGGCCAGGCTGCTCTCGAACTCCTGACCTCAGGTGATCCACCTGCCTTGGCCTCCCAAAGTGCTGGGATTACAGGTATGAGCCACCACGCCTGGCCTCCAGCTTTCTTAAATAATGAGAACTAACTCCTTGCTTCCCTTTGACTCTTGTTTTTATAGGCAGCCCTGCAAGTTGGGGGCCATGGAGAGAGGCTACACCAGTGTCGAGAAGTCATGCTTCTAACTTACAAATCCATCCCCATGCAAGTGGATGGGGAGCCCTGTAGGTTGGCCCCAGCTATGATTCGGATCTCCCTGAGGAATCAGGCCAACATGGTACAGAAGAGCAAGAGGAGAACATCCATGCCTTTACTTAATGAGTGAGTCTGCTCATGGCCTACCTTGCTTAACACGAAGACCTTGGAGAGGAGAGTGCAGAGCATGTGCATGGTCTGGGAACCTCACTGTGTTGGGAAGAGGAAAAAAGTCCGGGAGACTCAGCAGTTCCTTGGTTTCTCTCGTGGGAACATATAGAGTTTTTTCCCCTTGTTTATTGTACAGTTCCACACCCTTCTTTTAGTAGTTATTACTGTACATGAGATAGATGATTCTTCTTCACTGACCACTTGAGAATATATTTATTGAGACTCTAGAAAATCATTGAGAGGGATTCTAGGGTGGTAAACTGTGTTCAGGTAAATGTGTTTTTGTTTGTTTTGTTTCAGGGAAGCACATAGTTAGCCTGCTCTTTACTTAGGTCGCTTGGAGAGTGTTGGTTTCTCCAGTCGCGGCTGGTTGGCAGAGCTGGTCAGTGGCTGGCCTCTATCCACATTGCATCTCTTTCTGCCTGCCAGCGAATTGTTCCCTTCCTGATGTTCCTATTTTGGGGTCCTGCATACTCTGGTGCTTCAACTCAGCATTGGCTATCTGGGCAGCATCCTATTGTCCAGACATAGCCTGACCCACTCTTTCACACGTGGTATCCCTCCTGGAGTTTTCCTTTCTTAGGCATTTTAATAAACTGACTTGAGGTAAGGTAATAATGACTAGATATTTAGAATGCATATTCATTTTATAGTGTGTCTCACTCCAACTAGTGATTAAGTGTCTGTGGGGTTGGGGAAGGGGATGGATAATGAACGGAAGTTTTGGCATCTTTTGAATATTTCCTATATATCATGCTGTATGCCTAAGGCCATTTCAGGGCTTAGCCTTGTGTCATTCTCTGTCACAGTGAGGGACTCTCAAAGGTGCTTCTCCCGTTTGTGGCCTGTCATGCATGGTTATCTATTTGCACTGAGTGGCTGGCTTCCTTGTGGTGCCTGTAAAGCAAGGGCATGCTTTGCCATGCATTTATGCAGAAGTCCCTAGAATAGCCAGCAACACAGGTGCCCTCACTCACTACCAACACTTACTGTTCTCTCTCTGTGGTGGCCCATGTTGATGAGCAGGATTAGGTAGTGCTCTCAGAGTATTCCAGCTTTTGGCATCTGGGTCTCAGTTTGAAGCTGGGATAAAAAATCGACTCTGTCCTCTCCTTCCTTCTCTCCCAGAATCCAGACTTCCCCCAGAATTTTTCCTAGATTATTTTCCAGAGGTGTTTTTTAGTTACATGTCTTTCTTTGTTTACATTTAGCGTTTAGTGAAACTCCTGACTCGTTCCTCATGCTGCCTGCCCTCCCTGCCTTTACCTTCTGTTAGGTTAAATACACAATTGCTGAGGTTATATTTTAGAAAACCTGGGATGTCAGTAGTTGTATATGGTTCATCAAATTTACCCTAGAAATGTTAGAGTTAAGTGGACCATGGGTTTGCCAGAAATCTATGAAATACTAAGTGAAAAAAAATCTCTGAAACTGTACTATAGTCTATGTTGTTGGGTCACTTTTAGATAGTTTGTTAAGAAGATATGCAGAAAAAGTTTTTACTATGTTTAGGCAGAGAGCTCATAGTCTTAGGCCTGCTTCTTCTGTATTTAATAACCTTATCAGACATGAAATGGTTTTCAGCTGGTTTAGTTTTAAACAGCTTTTACCTTTGTGTTGAGAATTCGTATTTGCTCAACAACCATATTGTTAAGAATTCATTTGGTTTTCTGCACCTATAGAAGCACATAAAAAGAATTGTTTTCTTTTTGTACTCATGGCACACGTGATATATGATGGCACTTCTTGTTAGCACTTAGCTATGCAAGTGTTCAAGAAGCAGCCTCAACTTAAAAATACTGTTACTGGCTGGGTATGGTGACTCACACCTGTAATCCCAGCACTTTGGGAGGTCAGGTGGCCGGATCACTTGAGACCAGGAGTTCAAGACCAGCCTGGTCAACATGGCAAAACCCCTTCTCTGCTATAAATACAAAAATTAAACAGATGTGGTGGCACATGCCGGTAATCCCAGCTACTCAGGAGGCAGAGACACCAGAATCTCTAGGACCACAAGGCAGAGGGTGCATGGAGCTGAGATTGCACCACTGCACTCCAGTCTGGGCAACTGAGCGAGACTCTGTCTGGAAAAACAAAACAAAACAAAACAAAAACCCCAAACAACAACAACAATAACAAACACCAGAACTGTTATTTACTTTCTACTAGAGGCAGTGGTGCCTGCATCCAGGCCACCCCATGCCCTCTGAAAGACTTACGAGAAACGGGAATAATAGTATAATTTTCATTTTATTAATGAATATTCGTAAGACTTAAAAATAACAAAAATCTTTATTACTACTTGTGAAAAATTATTCAACACTATATTTTCAGAAAATCAATACAGATAGCACATTTTCAAAAGAAAGCAAAAAACCCTAGTCACCTTGTAATATTTGCTTACTAAACCTTAATTTCTCTCATTCTAATCTTATTTACCTTCTATGATTAAATATTTCTTTTGATTTTACCAGAAAACCTTGTTTTGAAATCTAAGGTCTTCCACTGGATTTCCAAGTGGAGTTTCAAGTTCAAGGTCAGCCTTTCCTTTAAGACTTTTCTATAAGTTTTCTTCCACCTTCTGAGTCCTTCAAGCCTTTCTCTGCTTTGGCCATCAATTGTGTGAAGTGTACCATTTCAAACAATGAAGAAAGAGAAATTCGAAAGACATTTTCTTTTTTTCCTGCCTTCCTTTCTTCGCCTTTTTTCTTTACTCGAGGAGATCTAGTCGAAAATATCTTTAGAATTTTTAGCTTAAAAACCTCTCTGTGTGTGTGTGTGTGTATGTTTGCATGTGTGTATGTCTGTGTTTGCGTGTGTGTGTTTGCATGTGTGTATGTGTGTGTTTGCATGTGTGTATGTATGTGTGTGTTTGCGTGTATGTGTGTTTGCATGTGTGTGTTTGTGTGTGTATGTTTGCGTGTGTGTATGTATGTGTTTGTGCACGCGTGTATGTGTGTGTTTGCGTGTGTGTATGTGTGTGTTTGCGTGTATGTGTGTTTGCATGTGTGTATGTGTGTGCGTGTGTGTATGTGTGTGTTTACATGTGCGTGTTTGTGTGTGTATGTTTGTGTGTGTGTGTTTGTGTGTGTGTGTGTGTGCATGCGTGTGTTTGCATGTATGTATGTGTGTGTTTGCATGTGTGTATGTGTGTGTGTTCCCAATAAGAAGAAGGTGGCTGTTTAATTCATCTTTAAAAATTAGGCTCCTTTCACACAGCATGTTAATTGGATATTCAAGACGTAAGTGCTGTGGCTCCCTTAACAGCAGTTCCCTTTCCACTTACATGCCAGTTCTCCTTGTGGTTCTGCCCTTTCTCTGGGAGACTGTATCTCTGATCTGTGTCTTCAGCCCAGAATTTTCTTCTAAAAATTGAAGACTGATACCCAAATATCTTAGTTGACATTTTTACCTTAATGTCTCACAGTAACCTCAAACTACATGCTAGAAACTGGACTCATTAACTTTATTTACTTGGCTTTTCTTCCCCACCATCCAGTGAGCCTATTCCATTCACAGTTGTACACAGGAAACTACCATCCACTCATTTGTCCTGTTCCTGGCCTTTGAGGTTCTCTCAGTCACCTCTACTTCTATACACTTGTGTTAGTCCATTTTTGCATTGCCGTAAAGAAATACCCAAGACTGGATAATTTATTTATTTATATTTATTTGTTTATTTATTGAGATAGAGTTTCACTCTCTTGCCCAGGCTGGAGTGCCATGGTGCCCTCTTGACTCACTGCAACCTCCGCCTCCCGGGTTCAAGTGATTCTCCTGCCTCAGCTTCACGAGGAGCTGGGACTACAGGTGTGCACCACCATGCCCAGATGTATTTTTGATAGAGACAGGGTTTCTCCACGTTGCTCAGGCTGGTCTTGAAGTCCTGGGCTCAAGTGATCTGCCCGCCTCAGCCTCCCAAAGTGCTGGGATTACAGGCGTGAGTCACCGTGCCCAGGCAAGGCTGGGTAATTTGTAAAGAAAAGAGTTTTATTTGGCTCACAGTTCTGTAGACTGTACAAGTATGGGACCAGCATCTGCTTGGCTTCTGGTGAGGCTTCAGGAAGTTTACAGTCAGGGCTAAAGGTGAATGGGGAGCTGGCATATCACATGGTGAGAGAGAGAGCGAGAGGGGGGAGGCACCATACTCATTTAAACAACTGATTGTCACATGAACCCAGAGTGAGAACTCACTCACTACCCCAAGGAGGGCACCAAGTGTTTATGAGAGATCTGCCCCCATGACCCAAACACCTCTGACCAGGCCCCACATACAACATCGGGGATTCCATTTCAACATGAGATTTGGATGGGACACATGTCCAAACCATATCAACATCCATCAGGGTAGCTACCACATTCTTTGAACTCTATCTTCTATTTATTTCCCAAGTCTTTCACTCTCATCCCCTCTATCCTCTCTACTGCTAAAGCAGCCAGAGTTCAAAGGTCATGCGAGCTACCTCTCAGCAGCATTACTAAAATATGCTTCTGACTATTTTCTTGTTCCCACCCTTGCTGCCTTCACATAATCTGTCTCTTCTGATATACCAGTTAGATTGATCTAAGAATCCCAAGCGTGTGTTCCTTAGCTTTGCAGACCTTTTCGATCACTCCCTTCTTCATTCTCTTTGCTCTTTGTTCCAGGGAAGATTGCTGTTCCTGGAACAGTAGCCTGTCTGCTACATCATCCTGGTTTTGCTTTCAGGTCCTCTTCTTGCAGTGCCCTCTGCACCTCTTTATCTTCTGCTAACTCCTTGCTCACAGCTTAGGACCCCATTGAATTACTACTTTTCTTAATAAGCCTTTTCTGTCTACTTCTAGCTGTTAGATGTACCTTTACGTGCTTCAGTGGTGCTCTTGGTTATTTCCATGACACTACCTACTAAAAATAGTGTAATCATGGATTTACTCCTCCCTTCTCTGCTCTGTGGGGAGGCCCTAGGATTTTCCTT